TCCACTGTTCCCACAAAATCATTTATTGATAATTTTTTATTTCCTTCTTGGTGTGCAATATATCAATTATTATATGTTATAATTTTTAAAAAGTTATGTTCTAGCATTGATTTTGCTATCATGGTCAGGTCATGTACCATATCTCAATCGACCTTTCTTAAGGAAAAGTAAGGTTATGTTACTTTACAAAGGAAGTTAGCATTAATATCCAAATTTTCATATGACAGAACCACCATTAATAAGACAATGATATATTATGTCTCACTTATATGAAGTGTTGGCATATTAATGCCTAGTCATAATCATAACTATGCCTCTTTCTGGATATTTTAATACTTGGTAGGGGAAGAGAATCAATATAACATGAATTAAGATTCAACATCACTTGAGAATAAATTGAGTAGTTCCTAAAAAATATTTGGGCATAGTAATAGATATGTTTCAATACTCACTTTCACAGAAATAAATTAGCTCAAACATTTGATTGTATATTTGTTCTAGGCTACAAATCAATTTGCAAGAGAAAAATAAAAAATAATGAAAAGCTATTTTTTTATTAAAAAAATCCATAAAACATTTTAATTATTGTCCTACTTAAGCCCTGGAGTAACCTATTGCTGGATTAAAATGACCCATGGAATAAAATATTCATCCTCTCCACCAACTAGTTTAACTCTTACGACTATTATGAAGGTTTTGCAATTTAAGTAAAATCAGCTTTGAAATGGAAGTTAGTTCATAAAATTTAATGCTTAAGTGATAATAAAATCAGTCTTAAGTAGGAAGAGGAGGGTGTTTTAAAATTTTAAATGACTAAGAAATAATATTTATTTAAAGAACATACAAAACATACAAGTCTACCAATTAAAGTTGCATTTCTATTGCAGAGTTTTCCTTTGTTACTCTCTGATATTTGAGTCAAATCTGCCTCTACTCTTTGGACTCAAGTTTCATCAAAAAAAAAAAAATATATATATATATATAATTTCTAATCCCCTCATCTGCCCTAGAGTTTGGGGAACTGATCAAAATCGTGCTGGTTCTTGACACTCCTTGGATGCTGGTCAGAAAACTAAGCAAAGGAATGTTGATAATGTCACTGTGTCTGCAGCCTAACTTACAAAAACCCTGTTTGAGTGGTTTTGGGTCGAAAGGATGTATGCCACTCATCCAGGTATCTTCCATTGGACAAAACTCCACCAGGGAATGGAGACTGTGCCTGCCAAAGTACCAAGAGGGATGGAAGTGTTTCTGTCTGTTGCCACTGAATTATTTTTTGGGGTAGTCAGTGATCTCTTGAAAGTTTTTCCAATAAACCATGTGTCTCCCATGCTGTCTCCAGGCACTTTCTTTGGCCTGTCCACAGCCCTTCCTACTGCCTTTGGCACAATTATGTTAAATAAGAAAGTCTTAACACTGACTGTGAATATGTGCTTCTCTCCATTCAGTCTATATGCCTTCTCCAGCAGATTACTTTGAGTTTGTTCAAATTACAACTGATTGTGCTTTCATTATCTCCTTTGCAAGAAATGCATAAAAACAAAATTGTCTTTTGGCTGGTTATTAGGAAGATTAAATGAGCTAAGCTTTAAATAAGATTTAGATAGATTGTAACACACAATGCATGCCCAATAGGTGAGTCTTGTGATTAAAACTATCTGACCAGAAGATCTATTACCGTTATTGTATTTGAAGAAACTTCAGGGTAGCTCAACACAGTCTGCCCTCCTGGAAGTTAAGGGATTTTGTAGTGTTACGAGAAAGGGAAAGTTCATCATAAATATTCATGGTAATTTCAAATGACAATACAATCTGTGCCTCCCATTTCAGATATTAGGATACAGAATTCCAATCACTCATGAAATCTGGAAAAAAAAAAGAAGTTTTAGTATTGTTTCCAAATTTAGAATTTTTTTTCTTTTTAATTGGCTATGATAGTTGTACTTATAGAGCACAGTGTGCTGTTTGTATACATGTATATGATGTGAAGATAAAAATCAGGGTGATCTGTATAACTATCACCTCAAACATTTGCCAAGTTTATTTTTTCTTTTTTTTGTGTGTGTGTGTGTTGAAAACTGTTTCTTCTCACCATTTAAAATATACTGTGCATTATTCTTAATATGTTCACCCTACTCTGCAATAGAACACAAAGTTATGGTGGTTTTAAAACCAATTTTCTGATCACATTCCACAGAGATTAATTATTTTTGAGGCTTCTATGACATCAATTTTTACTTCAATTTTTTTACTTTGTTAAATCATAGAGATTAATAATTATTTTAGGTAAGGCATTCATTTCCCAGGAGCATAATTTATAATATAAAGTCTTTAATTGCATGTTATCTACATCTATCACCTTCAATTCCAAGAAAGAAACATCTATATCACAGGTTTGTTCACTAAAACTAGACTCTAAGTGCTTAAAAGAAAAAAATGTGTATATATATGTGTGTGTGTATATATATATATATTCTGAGCAAAAAATAATAATTAATAACATGGTTAACATGTTTTTGACTTAGAGAATGCTTATGAGAACACTTATCTCATGCCCTTTTCATTTTTTAAAATGTTATCTAAGAGACAGTAGAGAAATTACAAGTCTTTCTTCTGTAATATCAAACATTAATATATATAAAAATACAAGCTAAAATAGTAAACTTTCTCCTTTTCTGTTTCTCCCCTGCTTCTGCCACACTAGCATTCTTTATGAGATCTACAATGACCAAAGATGAGCTCGTATTTGCCACTGCTATTCCAATTTTGAGGGTGGAGTTAATGTGCCTGCAAGGTGGTCATGAACTTCATCTGCTCAGCCTAGAAGGATACTTTTGGGTTTTCTTTGGGTTTATCACAGGCTAGTAACCTATGCATAGAACGTAGCAAACAAATTGTTCAAAGAGAATTTTCCTCTTTTATCAGGGCATGAATCTTCGCATCTTTTTTAATGGCCATGAATTCAAGAGAATAGTTTGTTTTCATTACTTTAAAACTGGCTCATAATACAGAGAAGCCATCAGGCTACTTCTGGTCTAGACTGTCTTCACTCAATTTTCAGTACAATGTGTTAATCAAGTAAATATCTAAACCTACAAATTACAGAGAATACAAAGTAAAATTATTTTGATTTAATTGACATCTTCCTTAAGGGAAGGATCAAAATGATAGTTTCCACTTATACAAATACTCAATTTAGCCTCTTTATACAAATAACACTCTGAGGGACCTTAGAAAAATGTCACTTCCTTTTTAAAATATGGATAAACTTTTATAT